TGTTAGCAGGGGAAGAGGTAATAACAGAAACAGTGGGAGTCGTGGGAAGAGCTCGTCTAAGGCTGGAAAGAATGTGGTGTGCTGGGTCTGCAAAGAAGTTGGGCATTTCAAGAGTCAATGCCCAAACAAGAAAAACAAAATTAGCGCAGTTGTTGGGAATGCATCTGATGATGATAGTGATGCATTGATACTCAGCATGGAAAGCTATGTTGACTCTTGGGTCATGGATTCTGGTGCTTCGTTTCACGCCATGCACAGCGGTGAGGCGATGGTGAATCTCAAAAAGGGAGACTTTGGAAAGGTAAAGTTGGGTAACGGGAAAACCCTTAAAGTGACAGGCATGGGAGATATTGATCTAAAAACTTCATTTGGAACTACTTGGAGCTTACAAAATGTCAGGGTGATTCCAAGATTGAAGACAAAGTTGATCTCAGTCGGACAATTGGATGAGCAGGGACTAGACGTCAAGTTTGGTGGTGGAAAATGGAAGGTGATCAAAAGAAATTTGGTTATTGCTCGAGGCTTGAAAAGAGGATCGTTATACATGGTACCGGTGACGTCTGAGGGAGTGACCAACCCGGCAAAGACAGTTAACAAAGTCGGGCTCACTGAATCGGGCAAAGCTAAGAAGGTTCATTTTGCAAACGTGAATCTTGGAGTTTTGGGGATGACAATTGAGTGTGTTCGGAGGTCTGAATCAGGTCAGGGGTTTCGTGACAGTGGGAGCATGCGACGTGTTCCGAGTACAGTTGTGAAACGTCATTGGGTTTTGAGGACCAAGAATCCGAACGTTAAAATCTCTCCTGGGAGTAGTTTGCTGGATTTGGAGAGTGGTAATGGTCCTCGGTGTATCTCTGGATCCGGTGGATTGTGCAAGCCGGTTGAGACAGAGGCTGTGGCGGTTACAGTCACAACTGGGTTGGAGCTCGGTGGAGCTTTAACTGTCCTTTCAGGTTATCAATGAAGGGGGTGGTTGCAACTAGGGGATATAACTGGAGTCTTAGCTTGTTCTTGGGAACTGGAGGCTTGGAGGACTTGACAATGAAGATTACTGAGTTACTCATGATGGGTTTACTTGGATGGCATTTGTGTCTATGCGAAATCCTTCAAGTGGGAGATTGTTGGGTAATTTGGTGAAGGCTTTAGAGCTTTGGGCTTTAAGCCCGGTCGCTTAAAGGGAAGAAACATGGGGGGCCGGTTTTAGTTATTAATTAAAGGGTCCATTAGTTGTTTCTTGTTTAGCAAGTTGTTAACCCTAATTTATATCTTATAAATACCCAATCATGTAACTATAATCTGTGAGCACCTAATAAAAGATAAACCCTAGTTGCAACCCGTGGAGTAGGTTACTGACCGAACCACGTTAAATCTCGTGTTCTTATTTTCTGCTATTTGTGTGTGTGTGTTTGTTCGCTTCCGCTTGACCGCCTCTGATCTCTGATTCCTAACACTCAACCCCCCTGAAAAATGAAATCCACCAAGAACAAGAAAATTCATAATTATGACAAAAATATCTATTCATGAATGCCTTTGATTTTGGGATAGAATAGTTGGTATGTATGTCGCATTGTCGCTTCGTCAGTGCCTTCATTTTCAATGTTCAAAAACTAGTTCCTCCCCGTTACCCCATAGCTGTTATGGTCTTTCATTATTGGGGATTTAGCAATGGTTAGTGATCAGAACTGATATAGCAGTGTTTGTCTAGGACTTTTTCATCACAGAGAAAAAGACATAATCAGACTGAAGGTGGTGACCTAACATAATGGGGACCGAATCATCTAATAAAGCAGGACCATGATGGCCTTACCCACTAATTTATTGCTTTAAAAGAAATGGTTATTAGCCTATTACGAACCTCAATGTAAATAAAGTGTTCTGCCTTCTCGATAAGAGCACAGTATGCATTGTGTATGCTTTCTTCATTCTGGCTTGTTCCAGCTGACCATTGACTGACACTCCTTATGATCTGGAACAAAAACATTTCAAATTATATCTAATCAACAAACCCGCCAAACTTCTTTGCAGTAATACTCCGTACTAGCAAACTATGATGTAGGAACTGAATAAAAGATAGTGTATACAGTTGAAAGATATATATTTTTTTGACGAAAGTTGAAAGATATATTATTTGCACAAGCAATAATGATTAAGCAAGATTCTGTTGGTCGTCCTGATCTAGCATGAAACCAAAAAGATACGAAGTAGTAAACGTTAGTTGTCGCCATTAGCATTGTAAGAGTAGCTCACCTGACATCGACATCGAGCACGGGGACCAACTTGCCCAGTTTCACCTGACTGAAAAACTTGACTACTGCACTCCGGTATTTCACACCATTCCTTATCTGAAGTTGTAGTTCCAGGATGCATCAAACTGGAAGACAACCTTCTCTGATGATCCATGGTATTGACATCATCCACAAATCCTTGCATTGGCATGCCTGGCGAAAAAGGTTCTAATTTTGCCTTCTGTGAAGGAAAAAGAATGCTAGCTGTCCCACTTGGCTGGTCATGGAAATCATACCCAGGGCTGAACCCACATGACTTTGGTTCACCCATAATATCCATATCGTCAGCTTCTTGAGGCATGAGCAAAGGAATGTCTTGGCAAGACGATTGAGAGGAAAATGAATCTTGTTTTTTGATATTGCCAATAACTTCTTTATATCCAGTGTGGGTCTCGGTGCTGACTCCCATGTAATGGGGAATAACCATGTGATGCCGAGGCATTAGTAGTGGAATCGCTTGCTCATTTGGAGCTTTGTTCCTCTAAGAAATTGCAAAAAAGTGCCCAACTCAAAAGAAAGTAAAAGTTTTATAGAATATATTTTATGACACTTTGGTTATTTTGACAGCACTAATTGTCAAAATATGATAACAGTTACACTGCTCCGTTCATAAAATTGATGGTTCCTACTCCCTCCAACCCCCCAGCCCACCCCCCCCCCCCGAATCACCAATTTGCTGCCAATTGTATTGACAGCCAATCGGCAATCCGGGGGGGGGGGGAGTAGGAACCATCAATTTTCCGAACAAAGCACCGTAGGTTACGGTGCTTCAATTGGAACTGTTGTCATAATATGACAACAATACTTGTCAAAAGAAGCTAGCTGATTTTATGAAGATATATGAACCTTGGCATAGTTCCAGCGCTGCACAAAATGCCGAGCCACATCACGGCACGGTGGTCCCCACAAAGCACAATGGACATCATGCCATGGCATGCGCGGATATTTTCTCCGGTCCAACTCATCTGTCATGGTATCCTCCCACGTGTTTGGTTCAGATTCCCTGAAAATGGAACTGCATAAGAAACTTGGGGAATTTTATGGACAACAAAACAAACTGTGTTGAGGCAAATAAATTTAAAAAAATACAATGCAAATAAAGAACGCAGTCACACCCATGACCATTTCAAGGTGTATCATTGTTTTTTAGGCGTTTTTATTTCAAGGTGTATTGCGTAAGCCTCAAGGCGTATTGATGCATAAGCTTCAACTTTAAAGTTTAAAATGTCAATATAACATTATCAATTACCACAACTAATCCATGAACATTAAAAAATTGTATTCTTAAAGTCACAAATCTCAAAGGTAACAAAGTCTAGCATGAAACTAAGAATTTATGCACATATTACCATGTTTGGTCCGCCATTTTTGCAATTTGGTATACAACAATAACAATAACAACACAGTTGAATCCCACGAAAGTAGGGTCTGGATTTGTTAAACTAAATAAACAAAAGTAAAAATTATGTACATACTATTTTCAAGTTTGAATGACAAAGTAGCAACAATATAAATAAAAACAATAAATTAATGACAAATTAGTAAGAATAAAATGTTAGCATTAAACAAATATAAATTAGTAAACAAAGGAGTAGAAGAATAAAAAAATAAAAAATAAAGGGGATATGCAAGGGAGGCCTAATAAACCTTAAAAAAAGGGAGTAATAAACAAAGAGAGGCGATCAAAGGCAGAGTAAATAAAGTAAATAAACGGTTATGGAAGGGGAGAGGTGATGCTCGGTGAGAGACGAAAGGCGATCGAAGAATCAGCGTAATGCTACTGGGAAGATCAACGATGCCAGACGAATAGTAGAGAGATGAAAACCAAAGTGGAGAGACGCTTGATTTGGTCAGGTAATTTAAATTTTGAACTATTCTAATTAAATTACTCATTTTACGCTAACCTTAATATTTTGGGGAGGAGGGAATGGCATACACCTCTTACTGCCTCATTGCGTACACCTTAAGGCTTACTCCTTCTGCCATAGTTGCACCGTATGTGAGAAAACCTTATAGCCTATTGCTAGATCACCACAAGGCATTTTACAAAAACAGACATGAGCGACGCCATATTGCGTATTGCACAATGCAATTTTGAACAATAGTTTTTAATGAAAGAAATGTTTGGATTATTCACGATAATCTATATTTGTGCTGAAATTAGTACTCAATTTTTCAAATCCAACATGGTGACAATTTTCTCTTTAGATAGCTCAAAAAAATTTGATACTGCCTCTGTCCGTAATTAATCTTCCCATTTCTATTTTTCAACCCTACTTCGACAAAAATACCCTCTTATTCAACTTTTCTTTCTTTTCTCCTCTCTTTCCTTCTTTTTTCCTCCGCCACCCAATTCTATCTTCATTTTATTCTTCTTCTCCTCTCTTCCATCTGCAGCGCACCCCCCTTCTTCCATCTCCTTCTCCTCTCCTCTTTCTCCTCCTCCATATTTCTCCTTTTTTATTTCTCCCTTCATCTTCCGCCCCCATCCTTCTTTTAGATCTGTGACATGGCGGCAATGGCGGTGGGGGATGGTGGCGGCGATGCTGCACTTTTTTTCTTTAGATCTATGCCATGGCGGCGATGACAACATGGCCCTTTTTCTTTAGAAATGTGCCCTTCTTTTTTTTCTCTTTCTCTAACTTCTTTCTCTTCATTTATTCTTTTAGATCTGCGGTACGGTGGCGAGGCTGCCAGTGGTGGTGGGCCCAGGGGTGATGGTGTTGGTGTCTTCCGGAGACAGTGGTGGTTGGGGGCGCTGGTGGGACTCGGTGAAGGTGGGAGCAAGGGTTGGTGGTGGTGGCGGGGCACTGAGGCTGGCGATTTTGGCGGGGCTGGCGGTGGTGTTGGGACTGCCGGCAGGGACAGTGGGCTTGAGAGAGATAGCAAGGGCAAGGGGAAAGGTGGAGGGAAGATCAAAGGATATTTTAGACATTTCAACCACATTGTCAACCCTCCTTAAAAATTAAAAACAGTCAAAACCTGAATGTTATTACAGGACGGAGGGAGTACAAAAGAGTGGTGGGAGTTTTCGGAAAGGGTTGATACATTCCTCGTGTGGAAAAATTCTATATGACCTTTCGCTAACTACAATTCACAAAATGTGGTCATTATATTATTGTTGTTATTGTGGTTATTATCATTATTTTCATCATCATCATCATCATTATTAGTACTTTCTTATTCATATTATTAGTAGTATCTTATTACTCTCTCCTGGAGATCGTGGTGAGGGATAGAGGTAGACCTAAAAAGAGTTGAAAGGAGGTAACTAGACAAGACTTACGACGTCTTGTCTGGCCTTGGATAGGAACGCCTCGAGATCTAGGATTAGGATAGTAGGATAGACTAGAGGGCTTTAGTTGGTAGTTTTTGCCATTGTTTGCTTAATTGCCTTAGTCTAATGTGTGTGCTTGTGTGCTTTTTGTGCTTTAAGTCTAGTTCTCAGAGTTGGCTTGTCTGTACTTCATGCATGCTTTAGTAGCATCTTTGATTGTTCTTCTATCCCTAAGCCAAGGGTCTCTTGGAAACAGCTCATCTACTTCATTGTAGGCATAAAGTCAGCCTAAACACACCCTCCTCAGACCCTACTTCTTTTGGGATGTTACTGAGTTTGTTGTTGTTATTCATAGTAGGGTTAAAGTTGGCAAGCTTTTTTATGTTACTCTAAAAACTTTGGATTTCCATAGATGTCCTTCCTTGATTTGATGGATCTCACAACACAGTGTTTTGGGCTTTTGGCAAATGCCAACAGAGTTTATACATGGCAAAGTCTATGGAGCCCTATATGAGGCAAATTTCCTTGCCTAAGGAAGCAATTTAAAGTCCTTTTCCACCGCGGCTTGTACGTCGAATTTTTGCCTTTTCAAGGACAAGCTCGTGCCCTAAAATTTGAACCTGGGCTCTTATCGAGTAGAAAAGAAAATGGTGGATTTACTGAGGATGTGAGGGATAACAGAATTGGTGAGTGCGAAGTGAGCCTATGAGTTCTTATGATTATTTTTACATAAGAAAAGAAGAGGTTCGGGATAGAACATGGAGGAGGCAAAAAATGCAAGAATAAAAAAGAGGTATAATTCCATGTAAGTGTCAAGAAATATGACACACTCATCTTCATTCGCAAATTTAAAGGTCTAAGTCAAAATAAAGAGTATAAAATTAAAGACACGAATGTAAAAAAATACCTTGGATTATAGTAGTCTTTTCCGGGCCAAATAAGAGGACAATCACTAACTTCATGTTCAAATGAACCATCCTACTATATATAAAAAGAAAACGAAATAGCATATATTGTTTCCTGCTCAAAGGTATCTCTTAGGACAGTAGCTCGGCTAGCTCCGTCCATCCGTAAAAGGACAATATTTCAGTGGGGGAGAGACGGTCATGTCTCCTCCATTATTCATTCGCATCCCCTCCAATTTCTTCATTCAATAAAATAAATTGGAAGCGCCGCCTAGGGTTTCTTACCTTCCGCCGAAGCAAGGCAGCGACGACACAATCACAAACTCTGACCATGGATTCCAGCAGGTCAGGATTTGAAACAGCAGTGGCTCAGACCCGCGATGGTTATTGGCTTCCAGTGGTACAAACAAAGAGGAAGACCACCCTTGGGCAGTATGTACCCGTTTTATTTACTCTTTTATTTTTCTTTCGTGCTTTCTTGCTCACAGCTCCCTTACTGCAACAATCTTTCCATTCCGACCCAGTTTTTTTATTTATGTCTTTGTCTATAGAAAAGAGTCTGTCCATTGAAGAAGAGACATACTATTCCAAAGGTAAGGGATTTTCGAATTTAGGGTTTTCTTAATTCACTCTGCCTGGTCTTTTGTTCAATTTGGCGTTCAATTGCATCTGATTTTTGGTAATTTGATTTCCAAAGTCTTAAATTTCATTATCCAACTTTGAATATTTTCAAAATCCATAGCTTGTGCGGGACGGTGAAAGGCTCTTGCTTCTGGGCCTGATGCAGCGAGTGCAGTTTCCTGAGATAATTATTCTTTTCCCTTTCATGTCCAGTGGTGCGAGACTTTTTTAGTATATAGTTTTTATTTGAATTTATTGTTCATGGATTTTGTGTGTATAATTTGTTGCAGTAATTGAGGTTGAAGTAGAGGATATATTTGATTATTGGGCAGTTGGATATTTGCAGTGGCAAAACAAAGAATCCTATAGACATTGAAGATCTTTATGCTATTTATAGTAAAATGGAGGTGATAATTTACACAACAAACTTAGCCCTTTCTCTAATATTTGGACACCTATATTTCTGCAATTCTGTTCATGTTTTGCCCACTTTAGCATCTTGAGTTCACAGTCATGCTTTTTGATTGTTTGAAACCTTACTTTTTACTGTGAAAATATCTTTTTTACTTCATCTTTCTAGATTCGTAAATTCTTAGATGGAACATTTCTACTGTGAAAGTATCTTTTTTACTCCCTTTTCATAAAATAATTATTGAGAATAGGCTCTATAATCCCAAAAAAGAAATTGACAGATTGCACACTACTTCATGCTTTCTTGCCTGAGCCAAGAGAATGGAGCTTGATGTATACATCTGGAGTCACCATCATTTTTGGTATGTACTACATTCCCTAGAGAACAAGTTCTGCCACAACATTCCCGTACAAACTTGAAGAGGCAGAAGAAATCCGTATTCGGTTGCTACTGAAGTTGTGGATGGGGATGCCTAAGTACTATTTTTAGTTGCCATGGAATAAAAACCCTTTGAATTAAATACATTTCTTTTTTTAAGAGTTAAGCTTAGTATCCTAATTTTAGAGTACTACAAGCATATTGTGCAATGCTTCCTCGTATAAACTTCAAGGGAATTAAGTTAGACTTTACAATGATACTATTGTTATTGTTGTTACAAATGTTACTCACCCTTGATGGTATGTTTCATATTTGGTTGAAACATTTATCATTCTTTAAGACGGAGTATTAATGAATAAGGTACCAAAGGATAGTGATCAAATGAAAATAATCAATAGTGAAATAAACAATATAGTTGGAAAGAATTATTGGTGTTTATAAAAAAAGAATTTTATTTGACACCAAATAAAAAGAATCCTACATTTTTGGTTTAAACTTAAAGGATCCATTACTTAAAAACTTAGAGGAAGTCAGTTTAAATGTTATAGTTGAAGAGTGGGTGATACTTTTCAAGGACTAATTACTTAACACTTTTTGATTCAAGTATTTTGAAATGAAAAATATACGAAAACTAGAAGGGAAACTTTTTTTTTTGTTTTGGTACAAAGTAGAAGAGAATTGGCTATCACAAGAAAAACAAAGTAGAAGAGAATTGAAATTAGTGGAATAAGGTACACATACACAAAATAATTTTTTGAGGTTGAAGTAAAAAAACAATTTACTTCTATTACTTTGTGGTTAAACCAAAATAATTTCTCATCTACCAATAGGGGTGTATAAATGGAGTATTATTAGTTTTCGTTGGTTTGTTTTGTCATAAAATAAAAAACACGAACTTTGTTTGAGTCGCACGGCAATCATCACTACCATTATTATTTATTAGGGTCTTATTACTTTTTATAACATTTGTTGCTCTTATACAATGTATTTAAGAAAAACTTTATTTTAAATGTATTTACAAAATTCTTCCCATGCAATGCACGGGTTAGAAATTTCCTTGCCTAAGGTAGCAATTCAAAGTCCTTTTCCGTTGCGGCTTGTACGTTGAATTGTTGGCTTTTCAAGGACAAGCTCGTGCCCTAAAATTTGAACCTGTGCTCTTATCGAGTAGAAAAGCAAATGGTGGATTTACAGAGGATGTGAGGGATAACATGAAATGGTGAGTGCGAAGTGAGCCTATGAGTTCTTAGGATTAATTTTACATAAGACAAGAAGAGGTTCAGGATAGAACATGAACGCAAAATATGCAAGAATAAAAAAGAGGTATAATTCCACGTAAGTGTCAAGGGATATGACACACTCATCTTCACTCGCAAATTAAAAGGTCTAAGTCAAAATAAATAGTATAAAATTAAAGACACGAATGTAAAAAAATACCTTGGATTATAGTAGTCTTTTCCGGGCCAAATAAGAGGAGGACAATCACTAACTTCATGTTCAAATGAATCATAACGACCAAAGCAAAGATCTAGGCCCCCAATAAAACAAATTTGATGGTCAACAATGACAATTTTTTCATGATGAGACCTACGAATAAGCATTTTGGAAATTAGCACAAGCAAATCAAGATTGACTAACAACTGCAAACCAAAATCTTTTGCCACACATACCATAAATAAACACCACTTGAAAAATGGTCAGGATAGCGCAGTACTCTAACATTTTCATGGATTTCTAACAACTTTCGCTTGCTATAAACACTGTTGATCTTTAAAGCAAGAGCAACCTCCTTGTATAGCAGAATATAAATCTGTAGCAACAAGATACATTAAAACAAACATATTCACACTTGCGAACCTCAGAGCGCAATAACTTATAGATGAAGTATGAACAGGCTTGGTCAGCTTATTTAGGATTTTAGGACAGTTGTAAAAGTTGTGTTTAAAAAAACTGAATTTTATGATATCCATAAAAGCTAATGAGAACCCTCAGTAGTTGCTCCAGAATACATAGAGGAAAAGAAGTATGGCCATATTATTAGATCATTTTCTTTACGCTCCTTAATACTGATCGTAGATGACAGAAGTTTCAATCAGAAGTACGTTGAGGCTGTTTCTAATAGCTAAAAAATAACAGTTACCATCCCATTGCATACCAGTCGCACAAGGCTTTGGCCCATGAACAAAATAAATGAACGTAACTGCTTCTCAATTTCTGATCAATGAAATGATGCTAGTAAATATAAAACAGCTATAAAACGCCGAAGCATTCCTATAGATACACAACAACAACAGACCCAATAAATTCCCATATCTAGAAAGAATGTGTGTAAGCAGACCTTACCGCTACTTACGTACTCTGAAAGTTAAGTGCTTATAGATACATGTATATACAAATAATTAGCTCAAATGAAAAAAAACATGGCATGAGTAATGCCTCATATATATAGTATTATCTATACTACATGCACTTTATTTGCAGTACTATTCAAGATATTTGAGTGCCAACAAAATGACAAATGATGAGTGCAATTTTTATCAGTTCAAAGTATCAAGCGAAAGAGCTGAGAATTTATAAATGCCATAGATAACTACCTGAACACCTTGTTTCGCCTTTGCTCCCAATAAATAATCAATCCGGGAGGAAGAATGGGTATCAAAGGGGCGCCGCATGTACATCTCTGGGCAAAGCCACCAGCCACAAATGAATATCTGTGCCACAAACCATCCACCACAGAAAAGATGTTAAAATAATGAATGATGCACATGCAATCAAAAAAAGAAATGATACTTTTTTATCTTCCTATTTTGAGACCTCTGATTTTGCTTCCTCTATTGCTAGAGCAATGGCCTCAAATGCAGCCCGACCATCAACAAACCACTGTGCCTGGCTGCCATCTTCCAGTAAGCCTCGTTGAGGAGCAAAAGACCCAAAGCGGTGAGGATGACACCAACCCTCAAGTGGTCTATGTCCAACTTCATTTATTGCAGCAACCCAATCTTTAACTTTAGCACTACTCTTTGCTCTTAACTTGATGCTTCGTGTCCCACAAGACACCTATAACAAAAAATGTTGATCAGTTCTCAAATTGTAGTATGCTAGGGCATTCCATGAGCTACCCCGCCCCATTAAAAAACATTAACAGAGGCAACCCAAAAACATTTTATAAAATGCCATTTACACATGTTATTGTATTGTTCCATGAGTCCGAAGAACAAATTTAAGCAATGTTAGTATGATGAAGCAAAGAGTTAGAACCAAAAAGCATTTAGGTCAAACCAAAATTAAAAAGAGTATGAATGTATGATGGAGCAAAGAGTTAGAACCAAAAAGCATTTAAGACAAACCAAAGTTAAAAAGATAATAAGCAAAGGGGTGCTGAACTTAAAAAGTTAGAGTTGCCACAAAGAGAATATGAGTTATAACAACAGCCCTGTATATTCCACAATCATTTGTTCCAGCATGTGCTTTAAACTTTTTTGGTCTGAAAACTTTGAAGTTTGATAATGGTCAACATCTCTTTTTAATATGTAGACCATGCTTTTTCATTCCATTGGTGGCTTAACTCAGTTATGTTAATGGTCTCCCATTTTGGACTAAGGCCATGTTCTCCCTAACTTATTTTTATTACTTATTACTTATTCTTATTAGAATCAGACCAGATCAGACCAGATTAGAAATAGCTTTAAATATAACTACATTCAGAGATCAGACCAGATCAAATCAAAATTTATTCCAATCAGATCAGAACCAATTAGACCAGGTGAAGCTAATACCGGTATTCCAGTCATGAATTTCTTGAGATTTTGGAATGCTCACTCCACATCCGAGTTCCAACCAAAACATTCCTTAAGAAGTTGATAAATTGGTGTTGTGATCTCTCCATAGGGCATAGCCCTCCACAAACTTTCAGTAATATCCTGTTAATCCTAGGAACCCCCTCAGCTCCGTAATAGTTGCTACTGTAGGTCATTGTATCATTAAGAGGGCAGCCCGGTGCACAAAGCATCCCTCCGAGCGGGGGTTTGGAGAAGGGCCCCACCACAAGGGTGTAATGTAGGGAGACCAGTCCCTGCATTTCTGCAAGAGGATGGATGCTTCCAGGACTCAAACCTGTGACCACACGATCACATGGCAACAAATCAACTGTTGTGCCAAGGCTCCCCTTAGGCCATTGTATCATTGCTTGAATTTTTTTACTGTCAACTCTAATTCCATCCATTGAGATATAGTGGCCCAAATGCTTCACCTCATTTCACCGAAAACATATTTGGATTCCTATGAGTAGAAATGCTTTGGTTGCAAAATCTCAAAAGTTCTCAAATGCTTGGGATGCTCCTCCCACCTAGGACTATACACTAGTATATCATCAGAGAATACTAGTATGAATTGCCTAAAATGTTGGCCCAAATATATCATTCATGGCTGCTTGAAATGTTGAAGGGGCAATTACAGAACTCAGGGGCATCACAAGGTACTCATAGTGCCCATTGTGTGCCCTAAATACTATCTTTTCAATTTCAAAATGAATCCTGATTTGGCGGTATCCAGCTCATAAATTGAGTTTTCTATAAAACTAAACACCAAACAGTACATCCATCATGTCTCCTATGGTTGGAATGGATATCTGTCCTTCAGTCTCCTTATTTAAGGCCGTATAATCATTGCAAAATCTCCATGTCCCGTCTTTTTTGTTGGAATGCCTTGAATTCTAGCCCATTTGACTAGTCAACAATGGCTGCACCTGGCTGGAAAGTAGCTGGAAACTAGCCGGAGAGTGGCTGCAAACTAGCTGGAGAATGGATATAAACTGGCTGGAAACTACCTGGAAAGTGGCCTTGACAAATGGACAAGTTGGTGGCTAGTTTGGTGAGGTGGGAAGCTGTATGAAAGCAGTGTTCTGGGCTGTCAACAGCTCACTTCCCACTTGATTTAGGCAGCCAAGTTCACTCCCATCTTTCTTTATATATAGGTTCATTTGTGAGGCATTATTTACAAGTGGTAGTTACCAAGAAAATCCCTCTGTAATCTCTCTCCTCAATCAGTAAAAGATCTCCTTTCTTCTGTTACGTGGACGTAGCCAACATATTGTTGGTGAACCACGTTAAATCTGTGTGTGTTTGTTTTTCGTTTCTTTCTTGTTTGTTATCTTTCTTACATCCGTCATAACAAACTGGTATCGGAGCTTGGGTAATCGAGGTTTGTAATCTGGTGAGAAAGATGTTTGCTTTAAACATAAAGATCGACAAATTCACGGGGAGCAACAGCTTTAGTCTATGGCAGATCAAGATGCGAGCCTTGTTGAAACAACAAGGCTTATGGACGCCATTATCAAAGGAAGTCAGGTCTAACAATGTTGAGTTAGCTGCTTTGGAAGAGAGGGCACACTCAACTATCATGTTGTGTCTTGGGGATGATGTCATCACTAAGGTTGCTGATGAAGAAACTGCCGCTGGTCTGTGGTTAAAACTTGAAAGTCTGTATATGAAAAAGTCTTTAACCAACAAGTTGCTTTTGAAGCAACGTCTGTTCAGTCTCTGTATGCACAAAGGTACACCACTTAGAGAGCATCAAGATAAGTTGAATACCATCTTGTTAGATCTACGTAACATTGATGTAAAAGTAGATGATGAAGATGCTGCTCTAATTCTGTTGGTATCTTTGCCCTTATCATTTGAGAATTTTGTGGATTCTTTTATTGTTGGGAAAGATAGTATGTCTCTTGAAGAAGTAAGATCTGCTCTTCATACAAGAGAAATCCATCATATGGCATCTGGTTCTAGTATAGAAGATCAGCCATCAGGGTTATCTATTACTGAGAGTCCGGGACAAAGAAAATCTAGTAGAAGGAATTCAAATTCTAAGGGTCCTAGAGCTGATGATGTATGTGATAGAATTTGGGATGAGTATGGACAACTGGATTGAGTAATAAGACAATTGGGCTGAACCACATTAAAAGATTGAATCCAATCGATTAGTTAGTTCAACTCAAGAGCTTATATACCGATTATTTTCCTCACACTTTCCGATGTGGGATACTCTTAACACTCCCCCTCAAGTGGACAACCGGGTCATTTTGAATCTAACCGGTTGACCACGTGCAAATGAACTCCCATTCCCTTGACTTTTTTTTAGCGCCAACACCTAAAGGACCACGAGCCACTGGGTATGGACTTCCAGACGAGCAATCGTGTTAAACGGGCCACAGACCGTTGAGTACATACTCCATACGGACAACTGGGCTAAAGACTAACGGGCCGCTAGGAATGAACGTCTAGACGGACACCTTGACAAACGAGGTGGGCCAAAACCTGCTTTGATACCATGATAGAATTTGGGATGGTTAAGAGTATCCCACATCGGAAAAGTGTGAGGAAAATAATCGGTATATAAGCTCTTGAGTTGAACTAACTAATCAATTGGATTCAATCTTTTAATGTGGTTCAGCCCAATTGTCTTATTACTCAATCCAGTTGTCCATACTCATCCCAAATTCTATCATGGTATCGGAGCCTTGTTGACTAGAGGTCACGGGTTCGAAACTCAGCGCCACCTAGTTTTAAGAAAATTAAAAAGTTTCACGTGCAAGGCTCGAAAAAGACTACGCCAGCACGTGAGGGGGCGTGTTAGAATATAAATAACTCATCTTGGGCCACAACCATAAGCTTGAGCTTTTGGTTGAGTTGGTTCCTTGACAGTATGTAATTAGTGTAAGGAGAATGGACATTGGAAAAATGAGTGTCCTAAGAAAAAGAGACAACAAAAGGAAGAAAGCTCTGCCGATGTGGCAAAAGCCAACATCAACGCTGAAGAAGATCAGGCCCTAGTGGCTAATAACCAAACACATTATAAGGATGTGTGGGTTCTTGATTCTGGGGCGTCGTATTATATTAGTCCATGCAAGGAGTGGTTTTCAACTTATGAGCAGATAGACGAGGGTGATGTTTCCATGGCCAACGAAATTGTCTGCAAGGTAATTGGAATAGGGTCCATGAGGTTGAGGACTCATGATGGTACATTTTGCACCTTGAATGAAGTTAGGCATGTTCTACTTTTGACAAAGAATCTGACCTCGTCTTGACTGTAAGGGTTTCAGTTTCGAAGGTAAAGGTGGAGTTATGAGTGTCAGCAAGGATTTGAAAGTGGTTTTGGAAGGTATTAAACATGATACCTTATATCTTTTACAAGGATTTGTTGTTGTTGCATCATCTGAGATTCACAAAGAAGATGAATGTCTTGATGGTAAGGTGGAGGTTCCATCTACAGAGTTTGAGACTATCGATCACCTAGAACAATCACCCAAATCTCTTTCTGCACCTCAGAGTTTGAGACTATCGATCACCTAGAAGGCGATCTGAATTGGCATTGGGGCTTCAGGTGGAGCCATGGCCCATGTGGGACACTAGGTTAGTGTCGTGTGCTTCTGTTCAGGTTCTATGAAGAGCCATTTGGACTCTAAGTGGAGTTTGCATTTCTTGGTGTTTCAGCTTGAGTTATCTGACCCCAGGCGTGAGGGAAGCCAGTTTTGGTGTGTCGCGACACTATTGAACTCAAGTGAAACAATCTGTTTCTGTTTTTTGGTGACATCTGTGTCCTAGGTTGGACTTCTGGTACCTATGGTACATTTGGTCACTTTTGGTAGGAAATCTGTTATCTTTGCACATCTGATTCTGGTGCTTCTACTGTCTTATGAGAGAATTCAAGTCAAGGTAGAGATTTGTTGGAATGCCTTGAATTCTAGCCCATTTGACTAGTCAACAATGGCTGCACCTGGCTGGAAAGTAGCTGGAAACTAGCCGGAGAGTGGCTGCAAACTAGCTGGAGAATGGATGTAAACTGGCTGGAAACTACCTGGAAAGTGGCCTTGACAAATGGACAAGTTGGTGGCTAGTTTGGTAAGGTGGGCAGCTGTATGACAGCAGTGTTCTGGGCTGTCAACAGCTCACTTCCCACTTGATTTAGGCAGCCAAGTTGGCTCCCATCTTTCCTTATATATAGGTTCATTTGTAAGGCATTATTTACAAATGGTAGTTACCTAGAAAATCCCTCTGTAATCTCTCTCCTCAATCAGTAAAAGATCTCCTTTCTACTGTTAGGTTGACATATCCAACATATTGTTGGTGAATCACGTTAAATTTGTGTGTGTTTGTTTTTCGTTTCTTTATTGTTTGTTATCTTTCTTACATCCGTCATAACATTTTTCTTGACCAAGAGAACTGGAGATGATAAATTACTTGTACTCGGTCTAATCAGCTCTGTTTTTAGCATTTCTTTAACTTGCCATTCAATCTGGTTCTTCTAAAAGTGAGCATATCTGTATAAAGCTACATAGACACACTTTCCCTCTTCTTTAAGATGAACTTGATGATCATAAATTCTAGTTGATGAGAGCTCATTTGGTTCCTCAAGAATGGATTTGAATTCAATTAACAACTGCTCTATCCCGTGTTTCTATTTTTGCCCCTCTTTTTGTTCATCATCTTTTTCTTCTATTTCTAAACAAAATAATTTTGCGCCTTGGTCCCAATCTAAGAGAAGACTGTAGTTCCACCTTTTCAGTTGGTTTCTGATTGAGTCCTTGTAGACAATAGTGCTCGCCTGCTTCTATAGATTGCATAATTAGCCTGCAATAGCCTGCGGTGATTGGCCCTTAATTAGACAACCAAGGAATCCCAAGAACAATGTCCATCCTTTGAATTAGCAGAGAGAATAGTTCTATTTTGAATTGATATCCATGTATTACAACTTCAACTTCAATGAATTTTTCTCAACACTCAAATCTATCACCATTAGCAACTCTTACACAAAACGACAATATTGGTTCAATTGTAAGCTAAAGCTTTCCAGCTGAGGATGTATGAAGTTTAAACTTGATCCGTTGTTGATTAATGCATAGACTACTTATCTTTTAATGCAACCACTCATTAACGTTTGCCCTCCTCCTCCAGTTAAGGCGCTTAGAGAAAGCCATGTATCCTCTTCTTCTATCACTACAAATATTTTCTGCTCTCCTTCTGAACCTTCACCAATTTCAATAGGACAATGACAGTTCAAGTGAAGTTCTTTTTCCCTTGTTGCATTTCAGTCCAGGTTAGCATTCTTGAAGTTCTATTTGGAGCAATCCACATTGTGGTTGTGAGAATAGAGTCGGTGTGGACACGGCTCCAATCCTCAACTGGTACCAAAACTGGACCGTATCGAAACTGATACAAGAGAACCAAAACCAAAAACAGGGTGTGGTTTCAATTCCTATTTTTTTTGGATCCAGAATGGTCAGTTCTTGGTTCCATTTTTTTTTTGTATTTATAATCTAATACGGAGTGGTAAACTAAATTTGGGAGAAGATTTATGTTTTTTGTTAAACCCAATATCTAAATGCATTTTTTTTCAATATATTTATTTTCTAAGAACTAAGAAATGGATTGAAACCAGAACCGAAACCACCAGTGAGACTTAATTGGAACCATACCGGTAACAATAGATTTTGGTTTTGATTCCCCCATTTTAGAGACCAGAAACCTCCAGTTCCGGAATTGGAACAGGACCATATCCACCCCTAGTGTAGAGGCTGGTTGCATTCTTGAGAGCCTTTTCCTCGTTGCAGGTACGTCTCTTCATTGCACTAGTTGCTTGTCTTTTCGTAGTTAAGTCTATTGCTTTCTACAAATTTTTGGCTTCATTAATCCTACATCCCTTGCTATCTCGTCCTTCATTCTTGCTCTAAACGCTCCCAGTAAGGCTTTTTTCAGGCAAGTGGTGTAGTTGATTCATCAACTTTTCAAAGTCTTGCAGATAACCCTTATTGCTCCATATTTGCTTAAGCCTGTGCATTGCTTCATCCGCTTCCTCATAAGTTCCTCCTCCAAAAATGCAAAAGGACTCCTTTTCTAAATTTCTTCCATGTGATATGTCTTTTCTAGTTGATGAGTCATCTGAAGTGGGTGTTCCAGATAGGAAAGAAATTGTGTATTTCTTTTTGTGTTTGTTCCTTTTCTTGGTTGGAGTCGCAATTTGTAAGATGGTATCCGTTGAAGAGTGAAGATCATTGACGGATTGCTCCAAAAGTCACAATCTCTCTTGATCTGAATTTCCATGGGCGCAAGAATTTGATATTCTAGAGTGCCACGGATCCGGGTTGAAGCATCCTCCTTTGATACCAATTGTAAAGCAAATAGCAATTGATAGGTTTAGCAATTAAGCTAGATGTATTTTTATAGGCTCAAGCTACTGTATGATATATTCTTAAACTGACTAGGACTAGAACTAGAGCAAACAATCATAAGCGAACTAGAACTTAGTACTTCTAAATCAACTAGGAGTAGGGCAACAATCATAAACCAAAGAAGATTTGATAGTAGAATGCTCTTGAATTTTCAGCACACCATATATAGAGGAGGATGCCCCTGGTCAAGATGGATGAGAGGGACCAAGACAAGTCTCTGGGGATCCTCACCACCTAGCTTTCATTCTCAGAAGGGGCAACACCTGGGAGCACTTTAGAATGGAGATCCAGTGGAGTAGTATTAAGCCTATTGGGCTGGTGAATAGATTGGGCTTTTGCTCGGTCTTTGGAATGGGCTAACAATCAAGAGATTAACAAGCCTTGAGTCCAAATGATTGTAGCAAGTTGTGCACACTTACAAACCAACAAAGAAGTGGAAGATGAAAATGTGTAGATGACCTCACATTTAGTGCACGTAAATGATCCGATTGAAATAGGCTTGTCATTCTGTTGTTGTTGTAAAGATTTTGACTCACTATAACTGGGCATGCAATAAAAGGATGAGAAACAATAATTCCATAAAAATGCTAAATTAGTGTCTATGATCCATCTAGGCACATCTGAAACTTTCAGTCTCACTTGATACTGATGCTAACAAAAGAGCATGTTGAAAAAGTTATACATTTCTTACCCTAAAATAATGGCGCAATGGATTGCCGTCCTTTACTTCTTTAGCCAATGATAATCTCCCATCTGAGGCAGGCAACACATCAAAAACAACTATATCTAAAGGCTGAGTGTCAAATGGATCCTTAAGGAAGGCCAAGAATCCTGGCTTCAATACAGCCCATACCTGTATATAACCAAAAGGGTAGGTAACTCCAGGAGGAATTGTGGAAGTGAAAACATAAATCTAAGACACCAATAACATGTTCAATATAAATATATATATATACACACACACACAATATACATATATATATATATATATATATATATATACGCACACATATATACTCCCTCCGTCCCGGTTTTTTGGTCCACTTTCATTTAGGCAGAAATAGCAATGTGGGAGCTAAATTGGATGAAAAGGTCATAAATACCCTTTTCTCCGAATCCGACAAAACCATATTTTCAACTTTCTCTCTCGCTTTTCACTGATTCTCACCCTTATCTTAAAATTGAAAGAACCCTTCAAATTCACCAATTCCAACTCCCAATTACAAATTCATGCTCATCCTCGTGTGTGTGTGTGTGTCTTCACTGACTTTCTCTTCGTCCAAAACTATGTTGGTTTTCTGACCTAGAATTCATTTTGCCCTCATATATTTGTAATTTTTCTAACATTGAGACTCCTGATTCTATCTGGTTGCTACCTGCTATGGAATAGTTTTCCTCCCTGTTGGTCTATCGTCAGAAGGCAGAGGATGTAGTGCGGTCTGCGATGTTGAACAGAGACTTCATTTGGAGAACTTAGATTCATGGAATTTGCAAATGGAGCTTAAAGATTGACGGTGGCTTATGGAAGAGGGCGAATTGTGATTGTTCAGATCTTGCCGATGAAGTTTTTGTCAGGGAAGGTAGATGGGGGATAGAGGCACGGTTAGAGATAGATATTAAATAGAGAAGAATAGAGAGGGTAGAGTATAATTTTAAGAGGGGTAACATAGACAACTTGGACATTTGAGTCATACTAAAAATGGAAAGTGGACAAAAACAATGGGACGGCTGAAAATGGAAGTGGACAAAAACACTGGGACGGAGGGGGTATATATATATATATATATACACACACACACACATACACACACATAGATATATATATATATATAGACACACACACACACATATAAGCCACACAAAGTGTAAACTAACACAATCACTAGCTTATCATGTGGCAGCATCTAATTTGCGTAATAAAACATATACACAAAAACAGTACTGCAGAAGTTGCTGCTCATGAGAGATAAGTGTGTTAAACTGATATCACAGGCTTGCAGCCAGAAAACCACATGCAAACAAGTAAAGAGACCAGTCATTGTGAATCTATCAGCAACACCCTCTATTCATGCAAATAAGTGTCACTATCTTCATATTGACACCACTATTTAAAAAAAACTGACTGGTTCATCTCTTCATCAGCAAATACTAGTACTCTGTGGTGGAGGGGTTCACTTTATTCTTTAAATTTTTACCACTAAAGGTGAACCTGAAGGGGAAAAGATACTTCTGCTATGGGCACAACAACAACAACCCAATTGGATCCCACAAGTGTAGGGCCTGGGGAGGGTGTAGGTATGCAGACCTTACCCCTACCCAAAAGTAGAGAGGCTGTTTCCAAGAGACATACTCCTGCTATGGGCATTGCCTAAAAACAAATTCCATGTTCAAACAACTACTTCTAAGAGGAATGTTACCCATTTTAATGAGCAGAATCAAGAACTAACATATACGGAGTATATGGTTTTCAAACTACACATAAAACCAGCTCAATTGTGTATGTTTCAGTCAGAATTTCAAGAGAGGATGTTATGTTACCTTCTGCCAGTTGTCTTTACAGCAGCTGAACCAATTACATGAACAACATTTTGCATGATCATCACCGCTCTGTATCTTGGGTAAATGTTTAACCATAATGTAATCTTCCTTAAGCTTAGGACCATACTCTGAAGAGAAGGACAAACTTGAAACCTCCAAAAACTTGCAAACCTAAAGCATGCAAGTTATTAAATTCAAAACTGGAACAATAAGACTATTAAGAGTACATTTCGGGAAAAAGAGCCACTCACGGCAATGACAATGAAAATAAAATTCATTTTAACTAACAAGACTAACACAATTACCTAAGTGCTCAACAATAAGGAAGCAAACAAGTCGATCACTCAGTGAAGCTTGATTGGGGATCAGCAAAGTTTGAGTTCGGGTTGAGCACTAGCTGGCTTGTCAAATAGTAAGTCTGAGTTCAAGCTATTATGCTTAAGGGTTGACACTGTGACAGTAAGGTCATGCATTCACCATGAGAAAAATCCTCCATGAATATAGAGGTAAGGTTGCATACCAGCTTTCTTCTACATATGTCGCAGCCTGGCAGGATATAGAGTTGGGCAAATTGAGTGTGGAGGCTCGACCAAGAAGAGCAGCCGGCCCTAGTGTTGGTTCGACCCATATGGCAGTGAACTAGGTTTTTAATTTAGCCTGGCCTAATTCTCCATGTGGGCTTGGGCCTAACGTGGGGATTAAGTTTTTAAGCCTAGTTTAGTCTTCATAAATAGTGATCTCTGTACTTGTAATTCTGTGAGCACCTGAATAATAAAAACCCTAGTTGCAAAGTGGATCTAGGTCAGCCGACCAAACCACTATAAATCTTGTGTTCCATTTTCTCCATTTTGATTTCTGTTTTGTGTGTGTTCTTGTTGGGTTGTGGTTTGCTATTCATAGATACCCCAACAACTGGTATCGGAGCCTTAGGCTCGTGATCGTTGAAGTCTTCCATCAGGTTTGTGGAGATCAGATTCAAATCAAAGGTTAGGGTTTCGAAGGGTTTGAAGATCAGTTCCGCCACCATCATAGTTTCCGCTGCAGAATGTGGTTTGTACTGTCTTGTGAACAGTAACTGCACTGCCACTGTGAACAGCCACCGCCGCTAGGGTTTTGTTTAGCCGCCGCTGCTAGGGTTTCAATTAGCCGCTGCCAAAAGGTTAGTTCGTTATTTGTTTTTCAATCTCAGATCACTCTTTCAACCGTGTGTGGAAACAATGGCAGATGAAAAGATAAAGATTGAAAAGTTTGATGGAAGTGATTTTGGGTTTTGGAAGATGCAAATCGAGGATGTTCTTTATCAGAAAGACTTATACCAAACGTTATCAGGAGAAAAGCCAGAAAAGATTAGTGATGCAGATTCGGCGATTTTGGACAGAAAAGCTTTGGGAGTGATCAGGTTGTCATTGCGAAGAGTGTTGCTTCCAACATAGTCAATGAAACGACTACGCATGGGTTAATGAAAGCTTTTTCGAATATGTACGAGAAACCCTCAGCATTGAACATGGTGTTTTTGATCAGACAGTTGGTTAACACCAGAATGAGGGAGGGTGCTTCAGTTACCATTCACATCAACCAGTTTAATTTGGCCATAACTCGGTTAGGATCAGTTGGAATTAAGTTTGATGAACTTCAGGCGTTGCTGCTTTTACCTTCTTTGCCTGACAGTTGGTCTGGAACAGTGACTGCAGTTAGTAATGCATATGGTACTACTAAGTTTACTTTTGAAGGAATTCGAGACTTGATTCTAGGTTAAGTCATATTATATCTAAGTAATTAACACTATTTAATTATTTGTTGAGTCTTATTCTTTTTTTATATTTATCATTTAATAATTATTTAATTCCACTTAGTGGGAAGTTAGGGGTCAGTCAATCCCAGTTAGTTAGTGGGAGGTTTAGGGCAAGTAATTCCTACTTTGTTAGTGGGTGGTTATTAGTAAGTTATTACTAGTAGAAGTTAAAGTCTCTTTGTATAAATAGACATCTAGTCATGTGTATTGATTATGGAAGATTACACAGTATTTTAACATTGGAGATTCTCCATGGCTTTATTAATTATATGAGTTTAAGATTCTTACTCATATTTTGATAAAGATTTCCCTTCATCATTATTACTTTTGAAGTTAGATCCTGATTTCATAATTTAATAAAGACTATCCTTCATTTATTTTTCCCACTGATCTTGAGTTCTATCATTTGGCATCAGAGCCATAAGATCTTTATAGGTTCCTTATGCAAAAATTTAGTTTCTCCATTTACTCCGTACAATTTCTCATCCAACAGTTATACTCCTTATGAAGTACACCAACTGCTTTGCATTGTAGCTCGCCTTGATGTCATTAATTCCAAACAGACAGCATCTGAAGTTCAAGGTACGGCTGTTAATTATGTGACACCCTACAAAAGAATCACATCTAGTAAATTCCATCTAGAGGTGAAAGCAAAGAAAATTCAAAAACAGAAGCGCAAGATTGCATTTGTTCATAAGCCCAACCCCAATTCCTTTGCAGCCAACCGCTTCAATTCCTCTAGTCCAAAAAGTAATTTCCTACGTGAGGACAAGAGAATTTCAATTGCAACTCTAAGCTGGCCCCTGATTGTGAATGCAACGGTGTTTTCCTCACATTGCCCCCCATGAATTTGACTAGAGCATCTCTCTTGGAGAGCAATCGGCAATGGCAATTCGAGTCAAGGTTGTTATTCCAATACAAAGAGCCTTCATACACGATATCTTCTTTCTTGGAAGAAAAAAGCGTCAAAAAACAGCCGGATACATTCTTCTCCTCACTTAAGAATCTCACTAGAGCTAACAACAGATCGACAATACTTTATCGCAGAAAGGACATAAATACATCTGCCACAATGAATTCCGTTTTCTTGCAATCCCTTGTGCGCTACCATAGCAGCATCTTCTTTTCAACGGTGCATGCCCCATTACAAATACAGTTTCTCAAAGCAAGTTCTTATATTGTTTACCTGCCACCCCTACCAAAGCCCCCGGATATACAATGAAGCATTGAAGTGATTAGGTTGCCAAGTTACGACTTGAGGACAAGTCGTGTTTCCAAGAGGGGAGTTATGATAGGTTCCAAGCCGGTTGATTAAGTCATATTATATTTAAGTAATTAACACTATTTAATTATTTGTTGAGTTTTTTTATTTTTCATATTTATCATTTAATAATTATTTAATTCCACTTAGTGGGAAGTTAGGGGTCAGTCATTCCCACTTAGTTAGTGGGAAGTTTAGGGCAAGTTATTCCCACTTTGTTAGTGGGTGGTTATTAGTAAGCTATTACTAGTAGAAGTTAAAGTCTCTTTGTATAAATAGACATCTAGTCATGTGTATAGATTATGGAAGATTACACAGTATTTTAACATTGGAGATTCTCCTTGGCTTTATTAATTATATGAGTTTAAGATTCTTACTCTTATTTTGATAAAGATTTCCCTTCATCTTTATTATTTATGAAGTTAGATCCTGATTTCATAATTTAATAAAGACTGTCCTTCATTTATTTTTCCCACCAATCTCAAGTTCTATCAAAAGTTCATGGGATTCTTCGAGTGCACTGTTGAGTACTGAAGGTAGAGGAAGAAGGAATGAAAGAGGAAGCAAACGTGGTAGAGGCAAGAGTCGGTCCAAGCATCGGGAAGGAATTGCCGGTTGGGATTGCAAACAGACGGGACATTTTAGAAGTCAGTGTCCGAATGGTAAAAAGGAAGTGAATACTACAGAAAGCTGCTTAGACAATAGTGATGATGTGTTAATTTGTAGCGTAGAGAGTAGTATAGATGCCACACACAGCATGAAGATGATGAAAAATCTGAAGATTGGGAACTTTGGTAAAGTACGACTTGGTAATGATGAAATTCTGGCATGGGGGATATTGACTTGAAAATTTCAGTTGGAGCCACCTGGACTTTGAAAAATGTCAGAGTCATTCCAAGCTTGAAGAGGATGCTTATCTCAGTTGGGCAGTTGGATGATTCGGGTCTTCATGTTAAGTTTGGTGGTGGACAGTGGAAGGTGGTCAAAGGAAATCTTGTTGTTGCTCGTGGCAAGAAAAGGGGTTCGTTATATATGGTCGAGATACCTCCAAAAGGAGCAAGTCCAGTTCTAGTAAAAGAAAAGGTTTGGTTCAAAGAATCTCGTGTGCAAAAGAGGGTTACCTTTGCAGAGGAGAAACCCAGAGAAAGAGTACAGATTCAGAATGAACTAGCTCGGAAGGTTCAACCAGTCAGGGAATTTTGTGACATTGGAAGCACAGGTCGTGAAAGTGGGTTAGGAAAACCAGTATTCAGGCGTTGAAAGTTTCTCCTGTTAATTATTTGCTTGGTTTGGAGAATGTAGGTTCTCATTTTGTCTCAGAAGCCATGTGAGTGATAGATGTGTCACAATCAGAGCCGGAAGAGAAAGAGAAACGAGTCACGTGTTGTGACCGATGAATTGAAGCTCAGTGGAAGCTTCAACGGGCTTTCAGGTAACTGAAGAGAAGGCCGCTGCAGCTAGTGGTAAATAAAGATTACAAGAGTTACAAATGCTGAAGACTAAGTGGCGTTGTTTGGGCCTCCAAGTGGGAGATTGTTGGGCGAATCGAGTGAGGAGGCTCGACCAAGACGGGCAGCCGGCCGTAGTCTTGGTTCGACCCATATGGCAGTAAATTAGGTTTTTAGTTTAGCTGGCCCTAATTCTCCATGTGGACTTGGGCCTAACTTGGGGATTAAGTTTTTAACCCTAATTTAGTCTTCATAAATATTAAATAGCAATTTCTGTACTAGTAATTCTGTGAGCACCTGAATAATAAAAACCCTAGTTGCAAAGTAGATTTTGGTCAGCCAACCGAACCACTATAAATCTTGTGTTCCGTTTTCTCTGTTTTGATTTCTGTTTTGTGTGTGTTCTTGTTTGGTTGTGGTTTGCTATTCATAGATACCCCAACATATAGCAGTGCACAAGGTAATGCAAGCTACTATCATCATTCACAAGACCAGTTAAAAAAAACTACTTAACTACGAGGTACTCCGTATAAGATAGCATGCATACCTCATGTGAATTTACAATATCTATGTTCCCAAGAAAGTGATTTAAGTACCCCTGCATTGCTACTTTCGCTCTGTCTGACATAGAATGTTGCCTTAAAAGTGTGGGGCGGATTATTGGAAGAGCAGCACTAGATGGAACATCTCTGAACAAAAAACCACCTGTAAGAACGACGGCTATTATAATGGGACGAATGGAGCTCATGCTTTCCTTCTATGGAAAATGTTGTTGAATTAACAATCACCTATTTTTTGCACTTTCATCTGCACGCATTGGAAGAGTCTCGTCATCTGGGTCATCATCATCTTGCATAAGAGGTATGATTTCCCCAATTCCTAAATTTTGAAGCCATTCTTTAACCTTAAATAGAGAGTGAAATGAAATTCCAGTCAGAAAATTTGGAAATTCCACAATTATAGTGTCTCATATTGCAAATATTGATAACCATATAGTGAAAGATAATCTAATCCAAATTATACCTGTTCCTGCTTCTCATGAATTTCCTCAATAAATAGCCGCCTCTTTAATGTAAAATGTAAATAAAATACTTGTGATGCCTTCTTGACTAGTCGCCATTTGAACTATAGAACACAACAATGATGCATTGCAGACATCAAATATCATATTCCAGTGATAACTAAAGTCACATTTAAAGAAACAAAATGATATATACTTCAGACCATGAGACATAAAATGTTAGGACCTTCAATATTCTGCTTAAATCAAAAGGAATTCAATCAAAATTCAGGAATGCAGAAAATAGTATAGCACATATGAAAAAGTTGTAAAGTTTATATTAAAGCATGACACCATACTTAAGATGTCATTTTTTATGATGTCATTACTCATTAAGAGCACTTGGGTTAAGGAAAACTTAGAAGAATTATGTCAGGTCTTGTATTACTCCACTTTTATCATAAAAGAATCATCTTATCGCATTTCACTTTTGAGGCATGAACAGTCTTTTCTTGTTTATATGGAAACTTTTCTGACGAGTGTTATTCCCCGATATTGGTCCATAAAATCTGAACCCACCACAAAGCCTATCGCCTCGCTGCATCACAGTGCTGGAAACCTCACCCGAAGAGTATTATTGTGCCTGCAAGCATGGCCAGTATCGGTTGGAGAACACTTTGTTTTTCGCCAATCTACATCATTTCAAACAACTGCCAAGGACTCCGCCAAGTGTGCTCCTCTCATATTGGTGATCCTGTCAATCTATGTTGTCACCAGAATTGGCTGACAATATGCTCAAGCGCCACTGCTACTACACACTAAAAACATCATGCTTAACAAATATTTCCCTAGATCATTCAATTTCTATACTCAAGTGCTATAGTCAGTTCGCCCATGGAACTATGGTGCTGCCATCACCACATAAAAGAAAAGATAATGCAAAAATATAGATGCATTCCACTGCATTGTGGTAGTATTGGATCAGAAACGTTACCAAACTTTTCATTCATATAGCACATCTAAATATATTTGGGCAATAACCAAGGCAATTTAAACTAACCATATCAAGAACTTGTTATCATTTGAATCTAGGATTCCTAAAAAGAAGCAACAAGACTTGGATAACAACAAATTATGTTTTTACCTTAGCAGATCTATGCCGGAATTTATAGTCAAATGGTGTGCAGATTCTATCAAGTCCTAAGTCCCGCTATTTTGTCTATGATCATGCAATAACTAGGATTTTTCAAGCAGTCCCACTTAGTCACTTACAAATGAATGACTCCCTTGTGAATCTAACATTCTTGCCTCATAGAAAAGAAAGCAAGCAACCAAGGATACTGAAAATGTTAGGCTTCAACTCAAGGTGGAAGGAGGGGGAATCAGGATAGAAGGGATTCAGGGAGACAGTAGGTATCTAGGGTTGGTTTTGGAAGAAGATTTAAGTAAAGGGGTGAAAGTATTTAGAAGAGGGATGTCCTGATAGAAGATGGCAGCAAAGGGAGGATAGGTTTTAGGTTATATTTTGTATAAGGAAGNATCTAACATTCTTGCCTCATAGAAAAGAAAGCAAGCAACCAAGGATACTGAAAATGTTAGGCTTCAACTCAAGGTGGAAGGAGGGGGAATCAGGATAGAAGGGATTCAGGGAGACAGTAGGTATCTAGGGTTGGTTTTGGAAGAAGATTTAAGTAAAGGGGTGAAAGTATTTAGAAGAGGGATGTCCTGATAGAAGATGGCAGCAAAGGGAGGATAGGTTTTAGGTTATATTTTGTATAAGGAAGAGTGAAAATGAATTGTATTTAGAGGAGGGAATGGATGGGCTGAAAAAAAAAGGCAGGAAATTCTTTTGTTGTTTTATTTTGGGGATAAACCAAGTTGGTGTTTAAGAGATATAACACACTCTTATCTTAACTTGGGGTTAAGTCTAGAATTTAATTAAGATATAACACACTTAATTAAATATCTAGAACCTAAACTCACACTTAAGGTAACAACCCTTAAGATATAGAATTAGGAATTTAAACAAAGAATACAACAAGTGTATTATTTGATAGAAATGAGATTACCAAACTGTTTTTTTTTTACCAAGGCCTATGGCCGAATATATACATACATGCACAAGGAATACAGTCACTCATAATCCTATTACAAATCAAGAAAATAATGTCCATTTGTCATATGTCCTTAGTGGAATGATTTAAGGGGAATAAGGATCTTGTTTGGCTTGGTTTAAGGGCTGTCTCATTCAACCATATATGGGAGGATCATCACAAGATGTTATGATTGATTAAAGTGATTTCTTTTGACTTATTTTGAGGAAGAGTTCGACCATATGATAAGGGACAGAGTGGAATATTAAGTGGCTGGTTTTGGATGATTATACATTATGGATTTTGTCATCTTGTGTGTGATTTCAAGAAAGATGAT